CTGCGCGTCTGCGGGGTGTGCTGGAGAGGCTTTGCCTCAGGGAGGTCTCTGCCCTGGCTGTGACAGGGATCAGCCTTCGGGAAGAGGAAGCTCAGGGGAGACCTTGTCACCCTCTACAACTCCCTGACAGGAAGTTGGAGTCAGGTGGGGGTTGGTCTCTCCTCCCAGGCAACCAGCCGGAGGACAAGAGGGCACAGACTCAAGCTCTGCCAGGGGAGGTTTAGGTTAGATATTAGGAAGAGATTTTTAAGGCAGAGAGTGATCAGGCATTGGAATGTGCTGCCCAAGGAGGTGGTGGATTCACCATCCCTGGAGGTTTTCAAGATGAGACTAGATGTGGCACTTAGTGCCATGGTCTAGTAACCACAGTAGGGTTGGACTTGATGATCTTGGAGGTCTTTTTCAACCCCATTGATTCTATGCTTCTGTGATTCAAAGACTTGGGACTGACAGTGGATGAGAATCTCACCACGAGCTGCAGTGTGAGCTCAAGCAACTGAATCCTGGGCTGCAGCAAAAGAAGTGTGGGCAGCAGGTCAAGGGAGGTGATTCTTCCCCTCTACTCTGCTCTGGTGAGACCCACCTGGAATGCTGTACACAGTTCTGGTGTCCTCAAAATAAGAAGGACATGGAACTGTTGGAGCAAGTCCAGAAGAGGCCACAAAGTTGATAAGAGGACTGGAGCATCTCCCCCATGAGCTTAGGCTGAGTGAGTAGGAGCTATTTAGCCTGGAGAAGACCGTGTGGAGACCTCAGAGCAACTTTTCAGTATCTGAAGGGCCTCCTAGAGAGCTGGAGAGGGACTCTTTGTTAGGAACTGCAGTGACAGGACAAGGGGTAATGGGTTCAAACTGAAGGAGGGGAAGTCTCGGCTAGATGTGAGAAAAGAGGTTTTTCCTGTGAGGTTGCCCTGGGACATGGTGGCTGCCCTGACCCTGTCAGTGTTCAAGGCCAGGCTGGATGAAGCCTTGAGCAACCTGATCTAGTGAGGAGGTGTCCCTGCCCATGGCAGGGGGCTGGGACTGTAGGATCCATTCCAACCCTTAAATTCTATGATTCTCTGCAGAGGCAGTGGCCAGGCAGCCAGGACGTCCCTGGGGAGCCTCTTCCGAGCTGTGTGAGCCCTTCAGAAGGGCTCACTGGTTTCGAGCAGGGTGTGCAAAGTGAAGAGGAAAGGGGCTGTGCTAGATTTAAATACTTTCTTTCCTTCTATATTGGACATGAAGGCAACAAAAGTTGCTGTTAGAAACAAGGACAAAAAAGTTACAAAGTGACAGAACTAAACTCCAACCAAGATCACCATGGGCATGGATGCTCCATTTAGCCTTCTGGAGGCCTGGCTTGTAAAGCTTTGTCTTATCCTTCTGGTCTTGGATACTTCTTGGTTATTTTAAAATCACATTGCTCTTTTCAAAGATGAAATAAGCTTTAAAAAGTACCATGCTTGAGCTGTCACATCAAAATTTAAGCAGTGAGACTTAAATCATTGATAGATGCATAGGAATTTATGTATTACAGTAGTAATTACTGTAGCCTTCATTACAGATAGACCTATTCAGAATGAGCAAATGATCTACATGTCTAAAGGAGCAGGAAT